ATATATATCTTTCTCTTTGTCTCCCCCTCTTTTTTCTCTCTCTCTCTTTCAGACTATCTAACTCCCTCTTTCATTACCTTCATCAGACCATATTAAATCGTTGCCCAAAAACGTAAAAAATAAAAAGCTAGTATAAAAAGTTGATTTTGTAGAGGCAAAATCTGGTAGTTCGTGAAATCCGAGTTTTATTTTAACAATTTTTAACACTGTTTTATTAATTATATATTTTGATACATTGCGCAAGCCGGAAATCTACTATTGGGAAAAAATGCTTGATTTGACGGCGGAACGATGCTTATAGGATATTTTTTATTTATTACACCTCTTACAAAAATTGAGCTGTATAAGAGCTCTATTTATGGAAAATAGCAAAAATTCTGTCTTTCTATTATCAGTACCGCAGCTACAGAACGAGGAAGTTATAGGAAGGTTAATGAAAAGTTGAGAGAAGAAAGTTGGATAAAATTGATTTTTTTTAAATATTCAACGTTTTTATTTTTACTTTCTTATAAGTAATAACAATAACACAAACAAATAGTTTTTAATTATTCTGACTGCATAGTGTTATAATTAATTGGATTGTTAACTTTCGTTCCTTGATGTTTTCCATATGTGTAGATTATTTGGCATTTTACGTAAAAACTGATTAGTTTAAAAATGTCCATTATAAACCGCATTTATTACATTATTGCTTTAACATTTTATTACAGGTTATATTAGGTATATTATTTATTAGTAGCTACAGCCTGTCAAAGTTGTTTGAGAGGTACAATGGTCATTCGTTGGTTTCCAATACATGAAATTGAATGTTTCAAAAAGCTTTAAAGCGCATTTCGCTGCCTCAGTTATATCATCGCCTTTTAACGCTGGAAAAAATGTTGATATAAAATTGATGAAATGATAAAAACGTTATTTTGTACTTACAATCACATCTTGCTTTGCATTCATTTCCTTTCTGGTTTAGTTGGCACGCATATTCATTATCTAACTGAACAAATTATTAAAACATAAACAAATTATAATTATATAGTTGATTACCCGACATATGAAAATATGGCAAAAAGAGGGGGAATTTGAAGGGTCGTAGGTCGAGATGAGTTGTTGTTCGAGTGGGTCGAACTCACGATAGCTCAAGGGACTAGAACATCGGAGTATTGAACTGAAGGTCGTGGGTTCGAATCCCACTCATGACACTGATTTTTGTCATCTCGACCAAGACCATAAATAAAAGAATAATTATTTGAAATAAATAATATGTTCGTTTACGATCGCTAAATATATATAGGTATCATCAATTAAAATATTGATGGCGAACAAACTCTGCTCAATCAAAAACTCGTTTTTACATTATTGTTATTATTTTTTTATTCTTATGTACTCACCTTAAATAAGCCGAAAGATTGAAAATCGCCAGTTTTATTATAGTAATTTGTATCCAATCCACTGACGCTTTTAGCGGTGCAAACCCCTACAAAAGCAATACATGTGATACCTATTTGAACAGGTAACGATAGACAAATCTATGGAATTCGAAACAAAATTTTTGTATTCCAAGAAGACATGTTAGTTTAGACTTTCCTACTGTGTAAATTCATTTTTATTTAGTTGTAGTCAAATCTTTTAATACGTATCAATAATATTAGTGTGAAAGTTTAAAAATAATTAACTTACAGCCTGGAATGTTTTGTTTTGGGAAATTAAGTTCGCTTAGTTTCTGTGCCAGTTCGCATTCGGTGAATACCTTAGCCTCCAATGCGACAACACATGCGATCAAAATCTGAAGGGAAAATCGAAGAAAATTCCTATAAAAATAACGAATAGGTGTACATTTTTTGTAAACTCAACATAATTGCTAACGTACATTGTTGTTGTCGACATAAAAGTTCAACCCATTGAATTATTCAAACCTTTTTATACCCCGTCTCAGAGCAAATAAAATTGAACAACTGTTCAAATATTGTCACAATGTATGGAATAAATTAAAAAAAAAAACACCTGAGTACACCTCTCTAGCAAAATAAGGGAAAATATCACCTTTTTATTGAGCAACAGAACAGCCCGCCACTCGCAACTGAGAAGAATGTGGTGCAGCGAGCGCCTAGAAGAAAACACCAATTGGAATGCTGTTATGATTTCTGATGAAACGCGACTCATCAGTAAACCTAATAGCATTCCAATTATAACAAAAAATAAATAAATTGTATAATGACTTGTAGGTAAGGTGCATATTTTTTAAACAGCTTTCCTGGACAATTACTTTACTTATATTAACAGGACACTTAATTAAGATTTTTAGTTGAGATGAAAAAAAGTTAATGGCACGAGAGGGATTCGAACCCACGACCTTCGGCTAAGTCACGATACCGAATCGTACCCGAATAGGGTTCGAATCCCTCTCGTGCCATTAACTTTTTTTCGTCTCAACTAAAAACCTTAATTAATTGTCCTGTATTAATTGGTCAAGCGGACCACGAAAGTAGTGAATTAACTTATATTAACTTTGATTCAATTGCAATGTGTTGGAAAACTATGAGAGAGTTTTTGTACTAAAATGCATGCATGTTTAACCAATAAAGAGTAGAAATGTATATAATTATGTTGCTGTGTTCTCATATTTAAATAAATCAGTGTAATATATACCTCATTGAAAACGAATTAACATTTAATGAATTCCTTCCAATCATAGGTATAACAATATAATAAACCGTTGAGTGTAATATCGGTCTTCATGATAAATATTGAAGTAAAGAGATCAGGGATGAAGCCATGTAGGTGAAAAAAAAACTTGTTTTTTTTTGCTGTCTAGCTGTCGGCTGTATTTGAGTAATTTGAATTTTAAATGTGTATTCAAAAACAATCTCGGAAACCATGTATTTTCAAAATTGAAGTCCCAAATACCTACCAAACTATGTAGTAATGTTGTCTACAAATTTTCTTGCAAGGACTGTGAAAGGGTATATTATGGACAAATCAAACAGTTCCTCAAGGACAGATGTAGACAACATGAATTGTGATAGTAGGGAAAAAGACAAACAGGGAACAGCACTTTTCCAGCATTGTCACAAACTCAAACATAAATTGGGAAAAAAGTGGAGATTGTTGATAAGGAGCGTATCCTAGGAAGGAGGTTAATTAAAGAAATACTCTACATAAAAGCTGACAATAAAGCTTGTAATTTGAGAACAGATACTAAGTTATACTACTACAACAGATACTATATACTAAGTTGAGTATTATTTATGGTTCTATTCTTAACAAAAATAGTCATTGTTGGTTGTTTTATTGTATTGTTTTCATTTATTTATTGTTTATTAGAATTTAAGTATTTATTTATTGTTATTATTTATAAATGGTAATTGTTATATGTAAAATTGTTAGCGTTGATAAATCTCTATAACCAAAGAAAATTACTTTAGGACAATTTGTAAATCATTGGCATCATTGTTGTGTGAGCTTGATAACATGTTGTTATCTCTCCTGGTGGTCTACGTTGAGTTATCTGGCCCCTTCTATTTGGACCACCTGTCCGAATTGGTTGTTAAGTTTTTTAAATAGTTTTTCAACTAAGTTGTTGATTTATCATTATAATTTTATATATTTAATCCGTAGCGTAACATTGATTGTAATTAAATAGAGTTATGAGGAAGGCGTCAAATACAGCCGAAAGCTCGATAGCAGAAAAACAAATTGGTTTTTTCGCCTACGTGGCTTCATCCCTGATCTCTTTACTTCAATATAATCAACCACCCACGTATTTCCGTGTGAAAATTTCTCTGTTGAATTTAAAGCAGTTTTGTTTAATAATAGTCATCTGTATGATGTCCTAGAGGTGGTGCGTGTAATGGTTGTCCAGTTTAACAAATGAAAATCATAGTGTTCAAACAAAAAATAACCATAATTTTATTACAAAAGGGAACTGTCCATTAATTGAAAAATAAGGAATTTACCGTACAAAAAGTACATTCACAAAAGTACTGAGGCATTCTTGTTGCTGTATTTCTGTCTTCTTTAGCCAGCGCTCATTGTTTCAAAGATTGCATCAAACAGTAATTAAACATTACTCGAAAAATTTATACGAAAAAAAAGTGTTGGTAAAGTATAGAAAACTGTGTCCAAGGACAGTAAATGGTGGATTGACGCACACTAGCCTTGGCCATTAATATCTCAAATCCACATTATCTTTCTCGTTCATGTTACAATCAAATTAAATTTGTATAAATTTTATGTGTTCGGTCTACAATTCTTAAAATTTAATTCAATTAATTTACGTTTTTGGTGGAGATAAAAAGTCAGTGTCACGAGTTTTTATCTCAACTAACCACCTTAATTAATTGAAAGATATTAATTGGCCAAGCGGACCACGAAAACTAGTGAACTTAAAATTTAAATTAACAATTAAAAGAATCAATCGACTTATTTTAGAAAGCATAGATTAAAATCACTTGTATAGTTTATTTATTCTGATGTTTGAAAAATAATGTTTAAACGTGTAGTTAATCAGTTTTATCTGTGTTAGCCTTCCTTTCTCTTTGCATCAGGTAAATAAAGTGTCATTAAGCTGTCGTCTTGTACCGGTCCCAAACAGACTTGCCGAATTTAAGCAGGTAGTCAATTCCGCAATTGAAGATGGCACAAAAACAAATCGGCGACAAACTCAGACCAACTAATTCTGTTTGACTAGCAGAAAACGCATTAGGGAAATCTCTAATAAACCTCGGCCGCGAGCGCCATTTCCGGATTTGGGTCAAACTAATCCAGGAAAGGGAGAATAAATTATTAAGCTGTCTTGCATATGGGTTTTTTTTTAAATTAACATAAATATTTATCGATGAAAAGTTATCACTATCAATTCAACAAGTAAAAGTTTTCAGATAATATGGGAAATAATAGTGTTCAAACAAAAAATAACCATAATTTTTTACAATAGAGAATTATTGATGAAAAAAAAGGAATTTTCTGTTAAAAAAAGTACAATTACAAAAGAACTGAGGCATTCTTGTTGCTGAATTTCTGCCTTCTTAAGCCAGCCTTTCAATGTTTCAAAGATTGCATTAAACAATAAATTAAACATTACTTGAAAAATTTATACAAAAAAAAGGGTTGGTAAAGTATAGAAAACTGTACCCAACGACAGTAAAATGTGGATTGATATCCACTGCCGTGGCCATTTTTATCTCAGATCCACATTATCTTTCTCGTTCATGTTACAATCAAATTAAATTCGTATAATTTTTATGTGTTCGGTCTACAATTCTTAAAATTTGAATTTACAATTAAAAGGATCAATCGTCTCATTTAAGAAATTGTAGATTAAAATCACTTGTCTATTTATTTCATTTTGATATTTGCAAAATAATCTTTAAAAGTGTAGTTATCCACATGAAGTAACCAGGTAGTCTATTCCGCAAATGACGATGGTGCAAAAACAAATCGTCTACAAATTCCAATCAACTAATTCTGTTTGGCTAGCAGAAAACGCCTTATGGAAATCTCTAATAAACCTCGGCCGCAAGCGGCATTTTTCCAAATTTTGTCGACCTAATCCAGGAAAGGGAGAATAAATTATTAAACTGTCTCTCATCCGCGTTTTTTTAATTAACACCAATATTTATCGACGGGGAAATATTATCCCTATGAACTCAACAAGTATAACTATATTATTTTTGATATAATAAATTACCGATATTTGTTATTTATATTTAAACATAAAAGTTGAAACTTCCATTCCAATCCTGAAACCCATATTGACTTTCAAATGTTTACATCTTTTTGAGGGGGGGGGGTCGTTTTAGACCAGCAAACCTCTGATCTCGTTTCCATCAATGCCGGTTTTCTTTCTCACTACGATACGATTCCGTGAAAACGAGCATAAACATTGACGGAAACACAATAATAAAACAATTAAATTATAATTAAAAGTAAATGGGTATAAATCAATACATCTTCTTTGATTAAAAAATAAATAATTTTATGTAAAATATAAATTATTTAAACATTTTTTAAATTAATCAATTAATTATTAATTTTTAAAACGATTATGAATTTCAAATGAATAATAAAAATAAAATCGAATTCAAAAGAAATAAAATTAAAACGAACTTGAATTAACGATTTACAAATTCGATCGATATTTCCAGATAGTAAACAGTCCAAATATTTAATAAAGTGGTACCACTTCCCGCATAAAACGACGATCCAACGATGAACATGATGGCGATGATATTGATGATGATGAATGAGGAGAAATGGTGACGATGCGATGAAGACGACTGACTCTGTTATCTACGGTAATCCGCCGACTCCAACTGACTTAGCCAAAAAATAAGCAGGTTGGGATTAACGAAAGGCGATCTTTTTAAATAAATTCAAAAATAATTAATTGGCGTAAAAATACCGCCCACCAAATTTTGAGCAAAATTTACTCTTTCGGTCCTTTCTCTGTCTGGGGGAATAAAGGTGCCAATTTTGTCACCGGTCGCACGTATTCTGCTAAGGTGGTTCTCAACTTTACGACCGGAAAGATTTCATCATTGCCTTTAATGCAGTCGAGTACTCTGTCCACTGACCATGATAACATCGGTGCGTTGGGTTCCTTTAAGAGTACCAAAGTGAAATTGGGGATATGGCCCGTTCACTTTAACCGATTTTGAAGTTCAGTGAGTACATAGTCCAATCTCCATCTAGCCCACAGGGCTGGGATACATTTGCGGAGAAAGTACCATCGATTCCGCAAACGAAGGCCTCGTTCATACCAATTCGCCTGAGGTGAATTTAATACCGAGGCACCTATTAGAAAGTTCCCAGGGGTAAGAACGTCAAAATCGTCAGGATCCGATTACGTAGGCGTCAGTGGTCGAGAGTTTAATACTGTTTCAATCCAAGTTGCCACAGTGGTGATCTCCTCAAAAGTTAACGCCTGTTCGCCAGGAACACGTGTATGATGGAATTTGAAGGACTTTA